GTAGCTAACCAAACCGCTGCAGTGCTTGTTCACACAAATTTTTGTAGTGATCTGTTTTTTTCGACGAGAACGCGATTGGTATAATGTAAACAAATATTATTATAACCAATTGTACCAGTGATTGTTTTACCATACTCGTTGTTGCTTGAATGTATCAAAGTCACTTCTCGTTCCGCTATCCATCTTGTTGGTTCGATAATTCTTACACTCTGCTCTTAATGCCTGTAATCTTTGGCGCGTCTCACTATTCATTCGATACTACGAGATTGTCAATAAATATACTTTATCTGGAATAATTACAGCCTTCTGGTTTGCGAGCTAGCGAAGAAACCAAGTCGACTTTCGGGCGCGTAATCTTAATGTAGTGGTGATCATAGTGAATCGAGACTCGACGCCATCCACACTATCAAGCTGTAAATCACAGTCTGAAAACCAGTCGTTTTGCATTAGGAAATCAAATTTATCTTAAATTTAGCCCAAAATAAGAAAAATATATGATGGCTATTAGGGCTGAGCAGCAATAAGGAAGTCATACTCAATATTAGCTAATCAAAATATTTAAATTTCACTTGAAACCTTTTCGGTATACGACAAACACATTCAATTGAAAAATATGAACGACCATATTTCTGTTTCATGGATTTGCGGACGAAGAAATGAATTTGATATCGCTTTGATACATTAAAATGATCTGGAAGCACTACAAATAAATGCTCAATCTAAAAGAATGACTAATCTGGATTTCACTTGGTGATTTTGAACTTACGAACAATTGGTTGGCTAGTTGCTACTTAATATTAAGTTTTACTGAAGATTTGTGTTTAAAAGATCCTGATCTTTAAGAAACGTTGGTTGAGAGTAGAAGGTTCAGTGATGTAAATACCTTTAGTAAAGGAGCGTCAGGTTCTAAACTGCTTTTCTCTGTAGTTCGAGAAACTTCTCAAAATTCTTTAGGCTAAGACTTGATGTTTGGCTCAAGACTCCGTATAGCCAGACAGCAAGTGGTGAATCAACCGGAAATGTCCGCTGTCAGTATCTATTTACAGTTGGAAGGGGTATGTTTCTGGCAGCATAATTGCTATGTCCCGATAAGAATTATGAATGGTAACTTTTGAAAACTATTTATGGACCAATATGATATATATATATAGTATAATAGTTAATCAAATAGACTATTCATATTCTCATCCCTCTTATTATACGCTTTTTTCGATTTATGAACTATTATTGTATTATCTACCGTTTTTGATTTATACCCAGTCTGTTAATCACTGTTCCCCACATTCACAGTCACTTTTAGCTGAATTTTGTACAAATTTTATTTTCTATTTTATGGTACAATGTGGTCAGTTTGGTTGGTACATCAACCCAGTATGTTTGAAATACAATGATTCATACTGCAGAGGCTGAGACTAGTGTTCTCTCAACTGGCTCGGTTAGGCAAGAAGCAGGACGGATAAATACTGTTGACTGCTCGCACGTGTTTAATGCGTCATCGATCCTATAGATAAGTCACTGCTCTCTAATTGTCGGTGTTATCATGTTATACATTAACAGGGTATCCAGGCGGCACAAGTTATAACAATAATCAGTCAGATCATTATATTCGTGATAATTACATACTTACCCTTCTATAAAAAGTGAAAGAACTGTTAAAGTTTCTGATTTTTGCATGAGATGACTTTGCAAACACGTAGTAAGAAATGCTTCAGACTTCAGTTTCTAAACACAGATTTCGAAAGCTGACTCCGACAAAGAGCATTTCGAGAGATCTAAAAGGGCTAGTAATTCATGTCACATATACAGTGTTTAGCTATTTCAGCATTTATTTCTGAAAAGATCGTTTCGGCATAAACCGTAAGAGGATTTGGTGTGAGTGGTCTTGGGGGATTCATTTACAACTCTTTTAAGTGGTCATACGAGTCATCAATAAAGTAGATTTCATTAATTTGGGATGGTTTTAATCTCATACACAATGATAAATAAGACAATTTCCAGAACACTAGGAGTTAACTGTTATCAATTGGACATTTCAGGTCAAAAACACAGAGACAGGGAAATAATTCTCTTCATCCCTACAGGTTGAACCCCCAAAGTGTGCTTTCGTTTGTTTTGGGAATCCCCTTGATTACGAGATTGTTATATTGAGATTCACTAGTGAACAAACCAATCATATATTTGTCTGTTATTAATAGTTGTATAGATATTGGAGTGTCAGTGATTATCATGAATTTAATAAAATGGTAAAATGTGGCTTCTAATTTTCGCTTTACTCTTTTTTATAAGATGATCAGTCTCTTGTGTAGCGATAAACAAATCCCCAAAACCAATAGCTCTGTAAGTCTTCGACATTTGATCATGACGGGGAAGCTGCTTCAAATTCTAATGAAGTTGTCGTCGTCCTTCCAGTTTATTTTCTAGTTTCAGGCATTGAAATAGCTGAGAAATGGATAAAATTTTAATTCTGAGGTTTGTGCCTTGGCTACAATAGCGGGTTCCCGTTTATGGAGAAGTACAAATCTTATTCCAGTTTATCACGAACCTGAAATAATAATAACTCCATATTCGAAGTGTAAAATCGAACATGAAACGACTGTGCTTGAGAAGTAAAGATGTACAAATTTAAAGAATCTGTTTGAATGGCTGGCTCTTAAATTAGTCACATTGAACTTACTTAAAGTGGACCTTCACACTGGTATAAGTAGTAACTACGAGTTAAGGTTAAAAAATTATCTTCCACTTTCTTGGGAAGCACTATGAAAGACATTCTGAAAATTCATGCCTCTAAATGAGAATCCCCAAGATTATGGAAAAACGCCTTAATAGATCAAGACTTTTAATTCTATCATTTGAGAACTTCATTTTATCCGACTTTAAAGTATTCATCACACCCCATCATAGCCTGCACTTTTGTTAATGAAACTGAGCTTCAAAACTCTATAAGCAACAGCTGTTCGAGTTTCAAATGTTTCTATAAGTCGGCGGTCAAGGCGGATGAGATACCGTGCAATTTATCTTGTTTATTCGTTCCAATAATTCGTTTTCTGGAGCTAGTATCACCATATTGTAATCTCGTTGCTGTTTATGTCGTGTTGAATCTGCAGTTCGTGATCAGAATCCAGAGTCAGTTAGAATATCCAACGAACAAAGACCTAGTTGAAATCATGCCAGTATCATTGCACCAGTTAGTGAGCTTGCTGTAATTGGTGAACAACGAGTTCCTTTGTCATTTCTTCTTGTGTCATTGTTCGTCCACTGGTTCTGGTTTGATAATTAGCAATGGTTGGTTACACTGCCCTTCAATCTCTACTAGGATATCGATATTTCGACCGTGACTTCACCTTCAATCAACATTGAACTATTGATGGACTGATAATTCCATTCTTAACTCGAAGACTTTTAATAGAACTTTTTTGCAAAAGTATTCTGTGCTAAAATCCAGTTGTCGCACAGTCCATCCTCAGAAGCTACAGGTAACCTGCTGTACTAATTTTTTTCGCTCCTCGGATGCTAAGATTCAATAGGTACTACTAGGTAGATTTAGAAAGAACAAATGATGACAACACATATAAACAGTTCAAACAAGGAAGGACCCGATGCAGAAAGGCGACAAGTGAAAATAGTCCTCAGTATCAAATCAAGTTAATCGATAAGTTTGTCTTTAGTCCCGAAAGCTTATACTATTGTAGTGCCGCAATTCGTTAATCGTTTACTTCGATAACCGTTATAATTCTAAACTTAACGGCGCGTAAAATCAGAAGACAAAGGATAGCAGCAACTACAGTTTATTGTCGAATAACTCAGGTCAGAAAAGTAGCAACACTTGAGCGAATATCAACGAGCGAGTAAACAGGCGAATAAGCGAAGGAAGCGAACGAGGCGGAAATGACATGCGGTGGAGATGGCTGGGAAGCCAACTCGATTTAAGCAAGCGTTAATCAACATTTATAGTCGGACAAAAATGAGTGACAGACATACGATGAATAAGATACTAATTTTACACATATATGCTCATATAAAAGTATAGTCAAGGTTAATAAGCAAATGATTAACAAGATCAAAATATGACTCATAATGGATAGGCGAATTGGCTTGGCCAGCAACTAGAATAAAGTATACGGGCTTAACATATAAATTGATACTACACTATAATGCAGCCATGCTGTTGATCTACCAGGAAGATATTCCAAACATTTCACTCGTCGCACACAAACGACATTTACGAGAGCCCCATCCACAACTTCAGAGAAGTGAGCCTAAACACTGAGCAATTAAGCAGCTGGAAAATAGCACCCAACAAAGTCAGAACAAGATGATCATTATGATGTGGGTAGTGAACACGAAAAATGAAAGTCAACTTAGATAGTATCCTTTATTTAACATATCTATCGTGTAAATCAAGTGAAATGGCGAAAGTTCACAAATAAGGACAAAAACGATTTGCAAGTTCATTTTGTTTCATTTATCCCCACGAACCAATATGACTGAGGTAGAGGGATGGACAACGTTGGAGGGCATTTTTATTTAAATAAACAGTTGAAATTTCTCACTAAATCTTGACAGTCTCATTAAACATTATTTAAACAATAAAATCTAGTGGTCCCTCACTCATTTCAAAGGAATGGTAATACGCTGGAACGTAACCTTTGATGAGCCATGAAAACTCAAGACTGAGATAGAAAGCTTACTGAGGTAGGTCAAAATCACTGGATCATCGCCAGCTAGATTGAATATTTTTCCTAGGTGATTTTATCTGGACTTATAGCATCCTAAACAGTCGTGGAAACCACTTGAAATCTTACTTAAGCTCTGTCTCAACATGAATTCTAGAATTAGGTGCTCAACTGCGCATGATGGACCGTAGAAACAATTGCTATCCTTCAAGAGTAGCTAGATCCTGTAAGATAGGGAGATTTATCAAGTAATAGTTTCCTATATTCCATCATGTCATTCGACTCATTTGAATTCACAGGATTTTGGACATCGTACTTCAAGGTCTTAGTCAAGGTCTCAGCGGGACATTAATTACTACTATTCGCGTGGATAATGTCTGAGGTTGCTGAGTCAGTCGGTAGACTGTGTCCAATTTGTCATGACGATATTGACTACTATGCGTACGGATCATGTAATCATCCTACATGTACAAAATGTGTGCTAAAGTTGCGGAAGTTCGGAAGCGCTGATGAGCCGGAATTTTCACAATGTCCCACTTGTCGACAGAATATTAACAGAGTAAGTGATGACAATTCCAATGGTTTTCGATTTCACAGGTTGCGATAATGAGAAATTTCGTCCCCTTTGACAATATTGACGTGTCCTTACTTCGACATGACTCAAAGTTTGATTTTATGTTTCCTGATGTGGAGATTGAACAGCACTACGTAAATATGCTGAAATCAATCTGCCCTGTTTGTGGTGAAGAAAAGAAGTCTCTCTCTGCCTTAAATAGACACACTACTTTTGAGCATCAACTTTCTTATTGTGATCTCTGCATTCGATACGCCAGGGTATTTTTCATATGTAATCCACTAACCGGTTTAGCTTTTGCCATGTGAATTCGTACTCATGAAACCAGCTGACCTTGCAAAACATAGGTCATGGGATAAAAATAAGAAGAAAGGTCATCCGTTGTGTGATTTCTGTCAAGAACGATTTTATGAAATGGAAGATTTGATAACCCATATTCGCGATCTTCACTTTTTATGTGATCTCTGCATGACCACAGGAAAGTTTGTGGTTTTTAGGTAAGGCAGTTTAAATTTCTCCTAATCCATCCACAAAGTGTTTGCGATTTCACTTATAGTACTTTATTTTTACGTTTTTTTTTTTAAAAATTTGTATGAAATCGTCAGTCATACGTGGTGTAGAACCTGATTTCCCAGTTGTCATAGATGATTAACACAGCCGGATGAATTGTCAAAACGAGTCATCGAGTAGTAGTAATTGCATTGGTCCTATTAACGGTAGGATAGATTAAGTACTTAGTTTACGATTCGCACATGCTATAAACGGTGTCTGGCGGCAGAGCCTCAAACTGTAGATTATCGTCAATAGTAATGCTTTTGTTTATTGATTTACTGCACTGGCTATCGGTGTTACAGATTCACCCTTTCCATCTATGTATTTCACATAGTTATGCGAAAGAAACTTCCTAGGCGAAGAAAATTGAGAACTTTGTGGTTTAGTATCGTGTGCTGATAATGATTAATAATTGCAGACTTCTAATAAGTTCTACATTTTTAAGTGACAAATATTTCATCTGTCGATGTTTTAAGCGTCTTTAACCTTATTTCTTGAGTGATTCGAGAATTAGCACTTGCATTATTTCTGTTGCCAACTGTAAGTTTACTAACCTACATACCTTTTGCCATATTTTATATTGGTATACCTGTTTTCTGCTGGTCGCTTTCAGCCATACGAAAACCCTAATTACATATGGTTTTTATTTTATTTCGACACATAAATATTGGTACAAGGAAGCACCAGATAAATATGCGCCTCACAAATCTCATTTGATTTGTGTAAGGGCTGTGATGCTGCCCAGGTACCCAGACTGAAACAGGTAGTTTTCTTAGGGGGCCACACCCCGAGCCTTTGATCTGAAGGTCTAGTCCACAATGCAGTGGAGCATCGTGAGGAGATGCAGTCCCATGGTAGCCAGTGACCAACGATTGATTCATACTCCATTTGTTCCCTCAGGATACTGGAGCTAGCCCATGTGCACCATTGGTTTGGGACTGTAGTTTTTCAACTCCCCTAAGTGGACACTCCACATCCATCAACCCGGTTAAAGCGCCGGACATTAGCTTTTCGTCCTCTCAATTTCGTAAACAACAGTAATGCCACAAGAAGGCACTGAGTAGGACTTCCCTGGGAGAGGCTATATATATTCGCGTGGCCATGTAAGAGTATTTCGAGAGGGAGAGCGGACTCTCACCACTCTCGGCCGTACCTAGTCATTTGGGGACAGTTGCATATGGTACTGCATTTGAAGAGCAGTTACGTTATGAGCTACCTTAATCACTCATTATTGTTTTGTTTTATGCTTCATCCTACTGTGCTAATTTCACCAGAAAATTCTATTTCATGTTTAAGGCGTTTTTTCGTCATGCTTTGTAATTCACCAAATGTCACCTATCATTTACAGGTTTACTGCTCGTTGTTGATACTTTAGTCTGTTTGTATTACTCATTTTAGACAGCAGTGTGAATTATTAGACCATTACGGTGAATCTCATCACCTATGCTCCGAGTGTCGAGCTCAACAACGTATTTCATGTTTTGCAACCGAGGATCGTTTAGGCTTGCATCGTTTTCAAGAACATCCAAATGAAGTGGCTAATGATCCCAACTCTTGGCTTCCGATTTCTATACGACACGTAACATCTACTGATTCTGCCTTCAGGCGACGTGACCAAATATTTCCTGATGTATACAGTGTGGATGGTGTTGTTGGTATGTCTTTTTGTTTGTTTCTGTTAAAATCAGTGATTAAATAAATTGTGTGAACAGTTTGTAAAGTTTAAACCAAATAATTATTTTCTTTTAGCTCCCTGAATCCATAGCATGGAGATACTCTGAATGTGTAATATAGTTAATTTTAGACACGGATTTTTCATTACTTATTTATACCACATAAGTTCTGGTGTAATAGCTTGCAAACAGTACAACCCAAGTAAACCGATAAATCTGAAAAAGAAAAGGCAGAGCGTATGCGATCTGTAAATAAATAAGTAAACAAGAGTAGTATCAGGAACAGTTCATTTAAAACAACTATAGTGATAATCAAATATAGTCAAAAAACATTCTTAGTTTGGCGGGGCTAGGTTTATTAGCATAGAGCAGAAATGCTCTTACCAATGCTTTGTAAACTTAGTGTTTTGCAGCCAAACTAACACTGGTTTAAACCCCTCTGGCTTATACTGTATCTAACTTGATCTCATCTACTATGTAACCTCCAGCACTTACGCAGCTACTCAGGTACAAAAGTCTTCGACTATTTTTAACAGTTCACCGCGAAAATTAAGTGCATCCACAAGGTCCTACTTATTTTTCAGAAATACTCCATTTAGCAGGTCCAAAGTATTTGCCTTACGGGGAATAATCTCATATGTCCTGATGAGTTGGTGTCTGGTGAAGTCTAAATACCAATTCAGAAGGCTGGGATGGCTTTCGCCAACATTCATCACTAATGATGTATACAAGATATCCGTCGACTAACTAACAGGTGAGTTTACCATACAATTCACTCTGTTCTACTTCATGGTTGTGAAACATGACCATTAATTAAAGATTTTCTTAGGTTGCTAGTATTCAATCATAGAGTTTTTCAAAGGTTCGCTCGTGTATTTGGGATCATCGAATGATCAATGTTGAGGTTAGGCTTAGGTTACTAGGCAAATATGATAAATCAAATAATACGGTGGTGCCTCATCAACTGAAGGCGTTGGGACATATTCTGCTTTTGTCTAATCACCACCTATCTCGACAGTCAATGTTGTGTGGTGTAGATGTCGGGATTCTATGAATTCGTTGGCAGTCGGATTGATTCGTCTTAGTAAGTGTAGACTACCTGGTTGGAGTCCGCCTAACTATTTTAACCAACGTTTAGAGATTTCAGTTGACAGGGCTCGGAATAATTTGCATTCTCACGACCACATTTTTTGTCTTCACTTAGACCCTGAGTGCCGAAATCTTTTCACTGTTTACTTTCCATACCTAATCTTCTCTACTACTGCTAACATCGATACTACTTCCACCACTCTGGGATGTGTCTTAATATTTTTATCTCGCTGTGCTAATGTTGTATAGCAACCTAGAGTGATGTACATGTGTCAGGCTCTAAGTCGCACATGCCATACGCGTAATCAAGGTAAAAAAAACTTACTAGTCACAAGTATTGAAGCAAGGATTTAAACTGTTTTTTTCATAATAAATAGACGGTAGGCTCAATGTATCATCAACATCTTTCACGACGTAAACTAAATATTCATCACTGCACCTCAATGTTTCGTTGTTGAAATTGCTGTCTGTAAAGATATTGATTAAATTCGAGACTGTTCTCGTATAAGTCACGTTCAATTATGTGAAGGTGATCACTTTTCGTAGACTTCATGAACACGAATTCCTGTCCAAAAATCTCTGAAACTCAAGGTTATTTATTTGATCAACCGTATATATATATATATATATATATATATATATATATATATATATATATATATATATATATATATATATATATATATATATACGCTTGCATTTGTTTAGCCTGTCAATAATACCATAAAAGTTTTTCGTTCTGAATTATTTCATTCTTTTAAATATTGTTTCTGTCGTATAACTTTGCTAAGAAAATTTTTATCAGAGCAGGCTGTATTACTTGTTTGAATAATTGATGTGTTTATTTAAATTTTTAAAAGTAATTTAGTGTATGATAAAAGTCATACATGATACTGTTTTGTGAAGGAATATTTCTTGTTTGAAGCTTAATAAAACGAAATGAGACACACTACAATTAGTTTTCAAATTATTAAATGGTAATGATTGTGTGGGTTAGAAAAGCTGTCATATGTGAAGTCCAAAACTTCTAACCACATTCAAGCTGTCCATTTTATTGCGTGCTTCCTCTGAGATGTGTTTTCATAATCAAGTCGAACACTAGGAGAAAGGTAAAGAGCAAGAGCTAGCATCCTTGTATGACAGTGGTCCGCAATTGAAACTCATCTGTGAGCTATCGTTTATGCATGACTTAAAAGTGTGGTCTATCGTATGAACTCCATATTATGTTGACGATCTTCTGAGGCACACCATAATGCCGAATAAGGTTCTCCTATCCTTACTGTCAAACTTTTTCTCATAGTCAAGGAAGTTGATATATATAGTGACGAATTTCATTCAATTGACTGCTTAACAATGATCCATATTGTCGTGATTTGGTCTGTGCACTACTGGTCATTTATAATTGTCTCATATTTCGTTCTCTTACAGCTTTTTCCGCTGTTGTTGCTAAATTTTCCGCGTATTTTTGCTTGTCGACTCTAATATTCTTCACTCTCTTGTTTGCTCCTGTGTATTCGGGTTTGGTCTTGACTTTCTATGCTCCTGTTCGGCTGTTGTCAATTTCTGTCTTCTTGTTCAGGCTTTCGATAGAGATTCATCTCTTATGATGATGCTCATTAAGGCTCAGAACTTCCCGGCACAAAGTTAGTGCTTCTTTGATCTCTCCCAAATTATTTCTCATATGTTGGGGATGTGAGGTCCCCAGAACTCACTTGGTAAACGCCTTATTTTTGTAATCCTATTTTAAAAGTTTTAATTGCTTGTTTTCGCAGCACAAGCGCTCATTTTCACCTTCATTTCGTATTTCCCACTTTGGAGGGTCTAAACGCTATTGGTTCTCTGTATCTTTTAGTATGCTGTTTTGTAAAGCTTCACAAGGATAATTTTATGCTGTATACATACGTTGTATTTGTGCCTGTTGTGATTGCTTGTGTTTCTGGCTGCTTGCGGAATATAATTCTTCGATTCCAACTTAGACTCCTCACTTTAGTTAATGTGGCTGGGACGCGTCAGAATAGCTAGCTTATTGGTCTTTGTTCCTTTCTCAGTTTAGGTCAGTAGTAATCGCTTCAAACATAACACCATAATAGTTTGCTCTTTGAGTAGATCTTTTAAGGTTTCGAATGTGTTGCCATTTTGAATTTGTTGAGTTCGTCAATATCTTGAAGAAAGTCTGTATTAAACCTTTGTAATGTTGTTTCTTCAGTTGTCCAGTGTTTCTTTGGATTCAGTCTTATCTTGGCAACCACCAGTTGTTGATCTGAATTCATATCAGCTCCACTCTTGGTTCTCACATCTTCCATTGACCTTCTGAATTTTTTATTGATGAAAATATGACCTACTTGGTTCTGTGTAGTGTGATCTAGTTAAACCCATGTAGTTTTGTGTGTAGTTTTGTAGTTTCGCCTGTAACTAATTTGTTGAATGCATATAAATTTGCAAATCTTCTACTATTTTCGTTACTTTCTCCCAGTTCATGCTTTCCCGTGATATTATCATATCCGGTGTTGTCCTAACACTCAATGTACCTATGTTAATTGTTGCGCTGGTTATTAAAAGGGGCATCGGCCTCTTGACTTCCGGAGGGCCCAGGATTTCACCATGAGGCGTCGTAATTCTTCTGGATGAAGATCCTTCGACTCCTGAAACAGTTTAAATGGTTTAAGTTTTTTTGTGTGGTTAGCACTTTTTAACAAGTTTTTTTTCTACGGGATGGAGTTGCTGATCCTGTGCTCAACTCTCCTTCTTTATCCAGGCTTGGGACCGGCAGTAACCGTAGAAGAGTTATAGGTGTTTATTATAATACATTAACTGTTAATTCATTTGCTTGCATTACGGTCGTTTAAAATTAAGTATTTCGGCTTTGTGTTTGTAAATGTAGATGCATCTGATGGCAGACTTACTTCACAAGACAATCCTAGTGTAACATACCGACGACCTAATCCTTCCGAATGGACTGGGGAAGATTTCCCTTCACTTCAGTCGACCATACCAGTGACCACGAGTTCTCATTCAACAACAAATGAGTCTAGCAGCCCTCAAGCACCCATTCAAAGACTTAAAGAGTCGGCCGCTAGTTTAGCAGAACGCGAGGTAAACGATACAAATAATTCCGTACAAAATAAACGACCAATAACGGGTGGAAGTTGGGTTTCTCGTGTTGCTAATATCAATTTTACCAATAAAGATCGTCTTACATCTGAAGATTTTCCTAGTTTAACACAATCACCAAATCCTTCCACTGGTAAGATATCTGTTAATTAACTTCTGGTGTAAATAAGTTGTTTCATTCACTCATTTTCATATATTAAATTATTGAATTGACTAGACAGTGAAATTATTTTTTATGTTCATCTTCTGCATACATAAGTAAGACAGATATTTCGGAAAACAATCGAATTTCTCAACCTTCTTATCTAGTTGATGCACATATATTAAATGATCATTTTGGGTTTCAACCAATGAGTTATGCATTCGAATTCACTATATACTTGAATTTAACTATGAAGTAATTCTATTAAACATTACATATTACAAACGTCTGACTAGAAGAAAAGTGGATAATTTAGCTGAAGCGAATTATATATTTACTTTGTTATTATCATCTTTGTTTTTCTCATTTTTTCTCAATTATTAGGCAATCCTCCTACTTGGGTTAGAAGTAATGCTTCTCAACTTATACAAAATCCTCAGACTGCTATGTCCACTCATTTAAGCTTTCCAACCCTTGGATCAAATAATCATGCTTCTGGTATGTTTCATGTATGCATTGCTTGCATTGGTTAATTAATCATTAGACTAAAACACATTTAAATTTATGATGTGGTATTAAGTTAATTCACTAATCAGGTAAACAAGTATAAATCACACTTTAAGTGACCTTGGTACGGCCGAGAGTGGGGAGAGACCGCCCTCCCTCTCGAAATGCTCTCACATAGCCACGCGTATATAGCCTCTCCCAGGGAAGTCCTACTCATTGCCTTCTCGTAACATTACTGTTGTTTACGAAATTGTGAGGACGAAAAGCGAATGTCCGACGCTTTAACCGGGTCGGTGGGTACGGAAGATCTATATAGGGGAGTTGGAAAACCACAATTCCAAACCAATGGTGCACGTGGGCTCCAGTATTCTGAGGGAACAAATGAGGTATGAGTCAATTGTTGGTCACCAGGTACCATGGGACTGCATTTCCTTACAATGTGCCACTGCCTTGTGGGTCAGACATTTAGGTCAAAGGCTTCGGATGTGGCCTCCTACGAAAACCACCTGCTTCATTTTGGACACCTGGGTAGTATCTCAGCCCTCATACAAATCAAATGAGATTTGTGCGGCGCATATGTATCTGATGCCCTTGCGTACCAATATTTATGTTTGAATAAATAAATAAGTGTGAGTGCTAATGATATACTACCTGGTTTCCCAAACCAAAATAGGCAGTGCGCAATTCGAACCTGCAGCTTAATGGTTGAAATCCGAACACCCTAAACAGTAGAGCACTGCTTTACCCCTGTTTTATGGTGCTGGATTCCTTGAAACTAACTTATTTATGTATTTACTCGTAATGCTGAAGAAGCTGTTAAGATAACGTCTTTTCTATGAAAAAAGCCAATGGGTACAGCATTCAACTTTCAGTCACGAAGTCACATTTGAATCTCGCATTTTCGACTTTGGTTTGAAAAACTCGATTGTATCACTAGCCCTCACACTTGAGGTGTGTCTCAAAGTCAAGCGTACGAATTTGTAGCTAATAGATGAATTAATTATAAATATTGAAAACAGTTAATCTTCCTATCTTGATTCGTAAATAGCACATGTTGAAGATGAAGAGTAAAACATATGATTGGATTGTCTTCTAATTTACATCTGTGAAATCGTCGTTGAGGGTTTACAAGACAATATAGCTAATCGTATTTGATAACGGAAACAGATCATCGCTTATTCGGTTTCAGAAATAGATGAATAGTTTCAGTTGTAATGTATAAGAACTAATGAGATGAAACTCTTTATAATTATGTAGTTACCATGGTTTTTAAAAGGTTTTATTGGTAAACTTAGCCTCAATTATTAAGGTTATTTCAAATCATTTTGGACAGTTGTACACTTCCCTATAAGTTTTCATAATAAATAAGTGACAGGAAATTAAATAACTTAACCTGAAATCAGCCATAATAAGCCAGAAATATCCATTGTTGTTATTAGAATTCAGAACGCAATTACTTATTAAAAAAACAAAACACTGGAACTCAGCAGTGCGCACCTACGACCTTACGAAGACTCGTACCTCAGAACCTCCGAATTATTGCGTAATCATAATCTGTTGACACTTTTCTGTATTTGTATTACATAAATTGGTTACAATCAAAAATATAAACATTCGGATGCCAACTCACCGGTCCACTAACCCTCAGTATCCTGGGTTCAGTCTTCATCATGTTTGAGTGCACACTGCTGAGTTTTGTACTGGGACAAAACACCTGTTGCTTTTTGATTTCCAGTGGTTGTCTAACCGGTTATTTCGTAATGTGGAACGTCAAGTCCGCCATTTTGCACAACACCCTTGAACAATAAATATTTAAATTTACATCGTTCGTGTTGATATTTTTATTGGAGTGGTGGGTTAAATCTCTTGAATTTTAATTAAAATTCATTTGACTGTTACTGCTAATGTATAAATTCTAAAAGATATCTTTTCTGTATATAGTCAATGAAATTTAATTTCTTTGGTAACATTCCTCCTGTGATAGCTAGTAGCAGCAGTCCTTCGTCAGGATGGCCGAAAACAAGCCGTAATATGTCTTCGGAAGAACAACCTAAGTCCACATTTCCTCCATCAACTTCTCTACAGACGCCTACACCTTCCGATTTTCCGTCACTTCCAACAAATTCCAATCCTAGTCATCCAAATCGCACTATTAACTTAACTTCAAAGTCAGTTTTGGAAAATAAATCCAAGTTGTTTAAAACACCAGCAGCTGATGTGATAAAGAAGAAAACGGAGCCATTATCAGCCTCAACTGGATTAAAAAATACAAAGAAACCAAAACCCAGACACAGCTCAAGAACAATAAACAATGAATCGGATGAGCATGGTGGTATGACTTTAAAGGATGATAGCGAAAAGGTTAGTTAATGAACATATATGTATTTCAGAATTGTTGGGTTTATGGCTAGCAGTGAGATTTAGATGTTGTATGTAAAAATGCCATAGGTATTCGGATTTCGACAACGCCTTTACACGTAACACCTTTCTGATTGAGAGATACAAACTCAGTCAAATTAAAAGTCAGAAATGAAAACATTGAAAGACATATTTGAAAAGCTATCGATATGTCAAGAAGCATTTAATCTGAGCTGACTAGTAGTTGCAACAAATGCGTAGCATAACGTACCCACTTGTGATCTGGCGTGGATACATCGTGACCGGAAGCCTTCACCTAGATTTTGTCCAGTAAAACTAATTAGGTCAGCATCAATGTCGAAGACTTACAGAACTATTTATTTTTGTGATTTATCTACCGCTACATGTGTGTGGTGCCCGGTTCTGATGCTGACACACAAAGCCAATTGACCACATGAGTGATAGGGTTGGTAGTTATAGGTGAGTTTTATTGGCCAAACGGAATCGAGAAATATTTATGCATTTGTTCACATATATGTGCTCATCCCCAGTAAACTTAGACATATTCAATCATTGGCATGGGTCTCATTTGTTTAAAATGGTAACCAAATCTTGGCCAATCTAGTATACTTATCATTTGGCGGATGTCTTATTGGTGTACTGTATCACCAGGGCGCTCATTTTGTCCTATTTGGGGCTTGTCGACTGAATGTTCCTACAATGTAGTATTGATGTCTACATCAACACTCGAACTTAGTACTTTTCACCAAGACTTATGATTATCAATACTAAAACGCAGATGTTTGCAGTTTATGAGTCCCAAGTAGGACGAAGTCTTATTTCAGATTCCACTGTTAGTCACAAGTTATGTGTTCTAAATATATGTTACAAAATGTTCTTCATACTCTGTGGATTGTGTTAGATGTCGCTAAAATTTGTCTTTATTATTTACGATTTATTCGAGGAATAAAAAATTATAACCATGTTTTTCACGGAATAGAAATAAGTAAGGCTCTTCAGAGTCATGATGTACATTAAACAGATTGTTGTCTATTGAACGGAGATGAATAATTTTAATGCCGAAAGCGTCATTAAATTATCCAGTGTTAGAGTCGTGACCATTATTTCAGATTAGGACCTTGAAACTCTCAATGTTAGTTCTAACATTATCAATCATATATTCATACTTTCTGTTTTTCTAATAAGCTGAAAAGAGTCAAAGATTAGTCAAGATCATATTAAACGTTTATATATTTATTTATTTATTTATTTAAGCACATAAATATTGGTACAAGGAAGCACCAGATACATATGCGCCGCGCAAACCTCATTCGATTTCTGTGAGTGCTGTGATACTGCCCAGGTGCCCAAACTGAAGCAGGTAGTTTTCTTAAGGGGCCACACCCGGAGCCTTTGACCTAAAGATCTGACCCACAAGGCAGTGGAACATTGTAAGGAAATGCAGTCCCATGGTACCTGGTGACCAACAATTGACTCATACCTCATTTGTTCCCTCAGAATACTGGAGCCCACGTGCACCATTGGTTTGGAATTGTGGTTTTCCAACTCCCCTATATAGATCTTCCGTACCCACCGACCCGGTTAAAGCGTCGGACATTCGCTTTTCGTCCTCTCAATTTCGTAAACAACAGTAATGTTACGAGAAGGCAATGAGTAGGACTTCCCTGGGAGAGGCTATATACGCGTGGCTATGTGAGAGCATTTCGAGAGGGAGGGCGGTCTCTCCCCACTCTCGGCCGTACCAGGGCATTTGGGGGCAAAAATGTATAAGGCTTACGCTTATTCCTCACGGTTACCAATATTCTCATTGATTAACTAAAGTTATTTCATGTCAGGATATCATTTTTCTCTCTCTATCTTTCTGATTTCAGTATACTGATGATCAATCACTATTGGAAAAACCTCAGTTCACTCATATCCGAACAGTAGATATTCTTAATGTTAATCCACAATCGTCTCATCAAACAAATCTAATTAATCATGAACCATTATCACTTACAAATGATTTTCCATGTCTATCTGAAAATAAAACTAACCCTGATGATGATAAAATACCAAAAAAATTACAAAATCGACAAACAAAAAAGAAAATCATTGATACTACTGTTCATCAGCCTGAACAACAAATTTCTACTCATACAACCAGTAGTGTTGTAAATAACACTTTAAAACCTGAGATTAATTCATTAATCCAAATTATAAAAGCTATTCAATTTAATGATAATATGGATATTGAATGTTTATTATACGCTAAGGTATGTTGGGATTTGATTTGATTTATTTAATAAGTGTACTGTTTGTTGTGACTTTTTATCCAAGTTAATTATCATGTGATTTATTTGCCAATAGAAATACGGCTTATTCGATCAATGACGTTTGACCGGTATGAGCAGCCTGACGTCATTATTGGTCCTTTGTTCTCCTAGCCCGTCCAGTTAAATCCAGAATGCCAATAACAGCTCCCACCATGTGAATTATTTATTTAAAACATACCTGGTTTATATAAAAACCAAACAGATCGCATTACATCATGAAATAAGAAAAAAAACATTTGTACAAGATCAAGCCAAAAAGTGCTGTGATTGTGGGAGACAGTAATCAACAAACTGAGTATAATTTAGGAACAGTAATTCGTATAATAATAATAATCTATAGGTCAAATTGAAGCTTGCAATAAGGAAATATAAATGTACAAATATAAATTCGCCTAAATATTACTTATCGCGATAGGACCACACGGAATTCTACCGATTGACCAAATTCAGATATCCTAGTTCGACCCCAATACTGTTCCCCAACTCCAATAAATCGGAACACAACCGTCAAATGAGAATTGTTTATGGGGTCAGCAGCAGAACAAAAATGGTTTACAGACAAGGCATATTTATATAGTTACGATAACTATTAACCGTAACCATTGAAATCGAAGGACACGTAAAGGTTATAATTAGGACGACTCATAATTGACCAATAGGGAAACGACACATGAAAATCATAGTTAAGACAACTGTAAATAATGGCCAATAGGAAATAACATGCGAATTATGTGAAGAGTCTGAAAACATACCACTTTACATTCGAGATAATTTTTGGGATATTCTTGTGAATATCCTAACATGTACATAATCTATTTACTGAAATTTAATCTTCCAAGTCCTTGATTTATAACAAGGCAGCATCACTGCAAATGTCTGTGGTAAACACCTTGCTGTTGTCACATTCCTATAGAACCAGTGATACAATTTTTCCCTCAGGCCTCATGTCGCTGCATTTGATATCACCGTTCTCCAACAGACCTGCCTGGCACAGTAAAACCTGAACAAACATATGTTTCGGTGGGGATGCCTAGATCGGGCAGTCACGATAGGCAAGCTCAACCACTACATCAACGTGAAAGCCATAGTTTGAAAGTACCAGTGTTAGTTTAAACACACCTAATTTTAGCAAATTTCTATTGCTTTATATTCAGAGGCTCTTTATAATTGAAGTAGGGTGCTTATTTAGTTGTTAAAGCGTTCGGGTTTCAGTCACTAAGTTCCAATTTTGAGCTCCAACCCCTCCATCTACTTTGGTTTGAGCAGCTGAGTTGTATTGTTTCTAAATTTATAACCAAGTAAACTAATCTGTACCCAGTAAACGAGTTGATAAATCATAAAAGTTTTTCATGAACCTTACTTTTAAATAACAACTCCCACTTCACTTGACTCAATTATTTTTGTCACTCCATTGGCAACAACATCGATATTTCACATTTCCAGATGCTAAATCACAGCAATACGTTCTCCTGAAAAGTCGTTATTTAGTAGAACTGAATAACTACTTATTGTTCCGTATATTGTTAGGTAGTTATTATTATTAATATTATTATTATTATTATTATTATTGTTATTATTAGTGGCTTTATTCAATATTATAATCTGATACAATATAGAATTCTCAGCACGAGTTCTCAGCACATAGTTCTGATAATCTTCGTCTTCTTATTACATTATCGAAATTTATCAAAGGGACTAATTGCTTTAAATTTATTTCAACAAGTTTTTTACCAAAAAAAACCCAAGAAGGTAGTCGTCATAAAAACCTCAGCATAGGTTTCACGCTATTTGACATTCGTCAGCAAGAGGTACCTACAGTCTTCTGGAAACTGACGGTCTCTTTCGGATTCAAACTTGCTTCAATCAGCTGCATAGTCTGAGATGTTACCACTAAACTATCTAACATTTAAATGTAAATTGCGCAGTATTGAGTCACAACTTGGTCGACTGAACTCGGATAACACTGAAGGACCAAACAAACGTGATATTGGTCATTACTCTGTGGTCAATCCTTGTAGTTCCATGCATTATTCGGCCTTTTGTTATAAGTAAAGGACTCAATTACTACCGCTGTGTTCCCAAATGCTGGATTGTTAAATAAGGTTCCCTTTGGTTACGGAAATAAAGGAATCATGTTTCATTTTAAGTTATATGCTAATAATGCAATCGTTATGTATTATCTTTTTAGAAACGTTGGTACAATAATAACTTTATGGAAGTGTGGTCTTGTTGCTAGTGAAATGGGAATGCTCCAAGAATCACTTACTTTCAAGCTACCAAAATCTTCATCATATTCTTAGGACGTTCAAGCGAAAACGTTTCTCATGATAATCGAATCTTTTATTTACAACTTTTCGTAACGTTATATACTGTCTTATTTTTTGAAATATCCCACGAATTCAAGTTTAAACGAAAGCAATACTGGTTTTTTGTTCTCATATCTTATGAAATTGATTAGTTTTTTGACATCTATGTATGATTAAACAACGAGTCCATTTTTATTATCCGATCGGACACGACAAACTTTACTATTAGTGTTTATTACCAGGTACAGATTAACGCACTTAGCTTTGTGCCACATTCTGTATGTATGAGCTAGTGATATACGATTTGGTTTTTAAAGATGAAAAAGGTTGAATTTGGGTCTCCAACTCGTTAACTTATGACTGATAGCATCGCTCCTTAACCACCGAGCCACCGCTTCATTATGGTAGTATCATTATCAACTGCCCTCTCATAATTCATTTACCCATTGTGTTATATATTTGTCATTGTCAATCTTTATTTATGTATATGATTGTTATTTTCACTAAAGTCTCAATATATAGCTCCACCGGATATGGAAACACGTAATCGTGAATTAATTCGAACAGTGGAAAATGATTTATTTGATAAAAGTGGCAAGACAGCTTTTATTCGATTTGCGGATTTATCACGTCGTTATCGTTATAAACAAATCAATGCTACAGCTTACTTGGAAGGCTTAGTTGGTCTTTTAAATGTCAATACTGTGAATCACAATGATGATAGTGATGACAGTAAGTTGTTGTATAATAGTTTTTTGTTCCATCTGAAAAAAATTGTAGAAATTTTGATGATGTTGCGGTTTTTGAGCTTATTTATTAATTACCTACCAAACGGCATCAAATATACATGTGCCACACAACAAAAATGTGGTTGTGAAGAGATAGAATATGAAAGGTGAGCGTGACAAAAAAGTACAACAATAAACAGAAATTAGTGTACGTAGGCGACAATATTAATAATTGTGATAATAATAATACTGGAAGAGGCAGTTTGGATAGGAAAAATACAAGCAGGAAGAATTCTTTGATTTGAGGATTTCGCATCAATATCGTCACTGGCTTTTCTTCTGACCCACTTCTGATAACATCTCAAGCCGCTATGTTGCACCATCTCTAGGGCCCCAACTGGAGAGTCATGAAGGCCCAGCGGACGCTCCGAAGATTGCCCAGATTTGCATAAGCTGCTCTGGCTTTTATTGTACGTGAGTTGATCTCATCACTCACACCACCACTAGCACTTATGCAGCTATCCAAACACACGAACGCTTCGACTACTTCCATCTACTCAATATCCAGAGTGAATACAGGATAAGGGGCCTTCCAGTCCTGTAAAAGTACTTTCCGCTTCGAAGGTGCAAAGCATACTCCATACCTACAGAAACTAATTGCCTACAGAAACTAATTGCCAATTAAGTGAGGATTGTACCCGGTTGGGATTGGCGAGATGATAGCAATCGATGGTTAGACACCTTGAATGACATGGCTCAAAATCGTTTGCAATGGCGAAGGTGCATCCACTCTTTGTGTTCTCCCAAATTCTAATCTTCTGAAGTCTTCATGTCTCTATCTTTTTTTCTCTTTTCAAATTTACTTCACTGGATTATACTCTTTAAATAACATCTTCAAACCGTAATCTTTCGGATTACTGCTTATGCTCTTACTACATCTACCACTATGGGATTCGAATCGACAAATGCATCTCTGCGTTAATGTGGTATGGTAACTCGAACTGATGTACGTACGTACGAAGTTCTACGTTGTGACTGACTGAAGTGAGGATAGTATGGCTTGGGTATCATCGCACAGTAAGACAATATCGTCCGCATACTCAAGGTGGAAAAGTCTTTCTACAGGAAACAGATTTACACCACCATTACCTACATCTATCAGAGCTGTTTCCAAAACGTTATCAATAGCAAAGTGAACTAGGAATAGTGAGATTAGGCCACGTTGCTTAACTCCACTGCTTAAATAAAACGTTGCAGTGAGGTGGTTGTATGCCCTCACTCTAACTTAGGTGCTTATATATGGGGCTTGGTTTGATGTATTGTTGCAACAGAAGCTGAAACCAATTTCCTGACATTGATCCGTTTATGGAGATGGATTTGTTGGTCACTGAAACATAAGATATGCACTTGGTTTCTACAGGCTCTAACTCGTTGAGTCACGTCGATGTATTAGTTTGACCATGAAGGAAGATTGTTATGTAATGAAATTGTACAAATCTTGCTTAAAGACCGAGAAACCTGGTAGTCAGAACATACTAATCAGCTGGAGTTCCTTGCGGACTTCGCCTCGTTAGGTGAATCAGTCGTCACCGGTCACGGACGGCAAGACAGTCTGATCGCTATCTCCGAGGCAGCAGACCATTTGAACTGCTACTCGGAAAATCCTGCTCATCGTTCTCGACGTCGGTAGCTGTTTTTGATTAGTATCCCAATAACTTCACATATTGGTTCACTCACACCAGAATTCTTGCTGCCAATGATGCGGATGAGTTGAATGAGCTCCCATTAGTCACCAGAATTAGCTGCTGCTACCCACTGCATATAATTATTTACCATCAAAGCTGAATCCTTTTTATCATAATCACATTTTCATATGCTCTATATCACTGTTTTATTTTGTAATCACAGAGTACTATTCTATTTTTTAGATATTCCATACTGGATAGGTCCGATGATTTCCTTATTGCCTGATATAGGACTTCAACGTGCCTTACTTCGTGCTCTGCAAGCACAAGGATCTCCACGTATTCCAGTTGATATGCAAGAAGCTTTGTTAAAAAGTGGTCATCAATTTAAGCGCAACAAAATCCCCATATTAGCTCTTCCTCCATGGTCCAAAAAAGTCCTAAAAACAATGCAAACATGCCAGGAATGTGGTCAAGTAAGCTGGTTTTCATGATTTTTTTTTAAATAATTTAAAATTTACTGCCTTATAGAGAAATCTTATTTGATGATATTTATCTTAATAAATAGTTTAACATATCAACAGGATAATTTTGTGGTCTGTATTCGTCAGAAACTAACCTCACTTGTGATACTTTTGTAAACCAAGAAACACTATACAACCTTTCCAACCTGGTAAAGAACTCAGTGGTTTACACTTAGGAATTCTTAAGGCATCGAACTCATGACCTTCAGGTATCTATGAGTCCTGAACCACTGAGATATAATAATACCAACAGTAGTATTAGGAAAGATCGACAGCAGATAATGTGATTCGAGAATGAAAAGGTTGTTGATTAGAAACTAAAATAGTGAATGAATCTTCATTATTTTGACCAATTCTGAGCCCGAATCTCCAACCGTTGATTATAATAATCGGGCGAACGTGAACTAGACAATTTAAACTTTCATGGATTGATATCACGCCATGATTTGGCAACCTTCTAGGTCTTGTCAACCTTCTACACGAGAGGCTATCTAATGATAATGTCCCGTGATTATCCCACTAACATAGTTTCATCATAATTAAGTTGCTAGATATTTAATTGAGGTCTCGAATAATGATTATTCAAATGACAAGTGTTTATCAATTACATCTGTGTTATAAATGTACCTTTTGAAAATGCATTGCTTGATCGTCTATTTTATTGCTATTTTTTTTCTCTTCACTAGGATCTTATGATGTATGCTTTGGTTTAAGATAATCCGTTTTATACGGCTTTGAAGTCCTAAGAGGATATGAATATATCCTTTATATGTCAAGCTATTGTTTGTTTCATACTTATATACTACCTTGTTTTTTATTGTTGCTGCTTAAAATCGTTGAAGCAATAGACAATAACAAGTGATACCTTATCAGTCATCATGTTCCGAGTAATTTTACATGCATTGCATTTCAATTCATTTGATTTAGTGAATAATTCCGTGACATAATTCCTAGAGTTGTAGTGAGAAGCGATTATCAGTGTAGTTTATCTATGTTAGGTTTGAGACCGTTACGTACTAATAGGATTGAAAGATAGTTATACAATGTCACAAATTCATTAAAGTCTTAAATGTAAATCACTGAATCTCAACCCAGTCGTCTAAAGGTTGAGCGCCCTCCAAAAGACCTAAAGGTTTTGAGTTCTGTCACCAGTCGGTTGTTATATGCACACAACTGAGGCATCCCATATTAATGAAAATTATCTAGTAGTCCCTGGTTTATAAAATAGTTATCTAACTAAATACTGTCCCCGATGTTAACTATACCATTCATCAATCTTCCAAAACCTTGTATTCATCGAAGTATTTGTCCTATTTGCTATTGTTTCTTTGTTAACAGGTTTGTCTACGAATTGATCTACCTACTCATATGGAATTAGCTCATTCTGTGTCATATGAAAAAAAATGATAATCCGAGAAAAGAAACTGGTCATACATAAACACTTACCTATCACTCGTTTAGTATTCTTCTTTTCACAAACAAATACACATCAATAATACAGTCTTTCGTTTTTTTTTGGGTTCATATCTAATATGAATTATTTTCATAAATTATTTTGTTTGTTCCATGGTTTATTTTTACTCTTATTTATCCGCTCTCACATAAGTTATTACCCTTTGCATGTTCACAGTTCTCTGAATTGTGTTGGAAAAAAAAACAATCTTTGATTAACCGTGGATATGTTTGTATGTTTGTTTCTGTGTGTATCTATGTGGATTTATACTTTTGTGTTCAATTATGTATGTTACTGTGTATAATAATTACAATGAATAGTATATTTGGGAGCTTGAAAAGTGAGTTAGTGTGACTAAGTTACGTAGCTTTTAATTGACTTGCAAAATATCTTTTCTTTTCTGTTTTAAAACAGTCATTCGTTTAATTTTTGAACCAATCTATTTCTTCTTCCTATTCCAATAATCCCCTTGTATTTTAGTACTGTTTATATTGTTAAAATAATTGGGTAAAAAAGGTGATCATCATATACAATATAAATATAAACATCTTGTTTTGCATTTCATTTGTTTGTTTGTTTTTGTACATTGCTTGATTAAACCTTTTTTTGTAATCTATGCTTCAGTAATATCGAAAAGTATCTAGGGTTAGTTTATGTCTGAAAATATACACCTTATTTATATGTTTGATTTAGTTGCATACGGGCCTATAGACAGCAGATTAAGAAGGGCGAAATCAGATGAATGAAATTAAAGCACTCTTGAAGTTACAGTTGCAGGGATCTCTACAAATACGAAATCCATCGTTGATATAACGTACTTCACCATGCCTCATTGGTTGCTGTCTGGGGCATTAAAGCTTTGAAATATAGAGCTAACTCATTTGGAGCTATTCACAGAAATGATGTATTATGATTATCAAGTGATTCTACTTTAAACACTTCATCAGACCATTCAAACTCATCCTTAATCCGATTTTCAGCTCCCTCTAAAGGTATTCTCTGACAATATGAACCTTTTGGAATTAAAAATTAACCTCATCCTTTTAATAACACATGAGATCACATCGAATACAAATCTATATTGATGTAAAGAAACTGGACATATTGCTAACTTCTTATCTTTATTACATTAAAACCAATGGGTACACGACTTTGTCAAATCAAAAACGTAGCTTGGTGGCTGTTTGCTAAGTATATTGATGAAATTTTTTTCTGCATCTCAGTGTCGAACAACATGACATTAAGGTTACCATTATTCACCGACTTGGCTATCTTCGAAAGTAACTCTCCTGTATATAGAATAATTTAAACGGTTGGAATTATTTTTTCTGGTTAGCGTTTTTTTAGCGAGTTAATTTTGCTACTGGATGAGGTCGCTAACCCCGTGCCCAACCCTCCTTTACCCGGGCTTGGTACCGGCAGTAACTCTAGAAGAGCTACAGGCGGAGTTGTGTATAGAACAGTAGCTTAGCTTAAACGATTAAATCATCCAGTATTTAACTGGTAGCGTGTAGTTTGGATCTCAAGCATATTCACTCCAATGGGGACAGCGGAATTGTCTAACTAACGTTTCAAATAAACGATATGGTTCAAAATCTGAATTTGCCTATCCTGAAACAAATAGTAGTATATATTAGTCTTAAGTTTTTATGGAAAACTAAGAGAATTGGAATCTCAACCATCTATTTATGTCATTCCCGACGTGGATAATCCGCATGACTACGCACGTTAAATATGTTAGTTTTTTTTTGTAAAATCATTTTGACGTTCACCATAGTCTACTTTTTTATGTTTTATTTATAACTGGTTATTCTTATCGTTTGTAAATTATCTTTTTATATATATGACAGTTCAGTATGTCCTATGAAGTTTTTTTATTATTTATTTCAGTATATTGTTGTGCAAAATGGGACATAAAAAACGTCCAAAGTCAGTGAGGAATGCGCGGAGCGCGGCGCTTGCATTGGAGGAAAAACGTTACACTAAAACTCCACATACAATGATTTTTTCACGTCCCGGTGTTGGTAGTTTAGTGAAACAATTATCTCTCGATGTAAGAGAGATTTTCGAACCGTTTACAGCTAGCCGTTTACGTGTAACCCGTCAGAATGTACTGAAAGATTTTATTACTATCGCTGGTCCACTGAACGTAACACATTTGTTATATTTCACACATCCAAATGATGAGAAACGTGAACAGAAGCGTGCTCGTCGGTTAGCTAAAGCTTCTGCAAAACATTTAAAAGATGAAAATCATACAACTGAACAAAGTTCGTAATTTCCTTTTTTTTGATAATTTATTGTCATTGGAATTGCTTTTTCGTTTATCGAATGGTCATGCTACATCTTGATATATATATTTATATATATCTGGGAACAGAAACGCTTCCTATAATGATAACACAAAAGTAAATTCAACATACGATAGGGGAAATTACTACTGACAGCCTCTTCGAATATTAGCAACGATTTATGAACAATCGAAATTGGGACTAAAAGTATTCAAATGTGAACGCTGTTACATTTGAACGAAGATTTAGAAAATGTTCGAAACTGGAAATTACTGTTACAAAACTTCAGCGGATGTAATTACACACAAAAAGAATGTTATTAATTTATGTAAATACTGTAGTATAACACTCGGTGAAACTGGTTACGGAACATTAACAAGTAGTATAAAGTAATACACAAAAAATGAGTCGGATCGGTAGAAATGCAAGGCAGAAAATGTCAAGTAATTAGACTTCATAAATCTAACTTATAAACTCCTTAAACATCAGCGTTATGCAGTTAACTTTTTATGATCAAGCTGGGAATTCCATTGGTGACTTATATAACTCACCTTATATATATATTGATCTAAGCTATTTTCCCGAATTAGCGTGAAATGTGAATATCAGTAAATAGGTTCGTGTTCATCAGAAAATATCTAGTCCTCAGATTTCTATATTATCGCCTTATGTATTTCAGACTGCGTACTAACGCAAAAGTGATATTTCCATTGGATTTCTTCAAACAATACAGTTTCCAGGAGCAATTGTCCTAATTCAAATTTGAGTGATTAACTATAAGCTTGATTTTGCTTCTTATTCAGTTTAACTTATCGTTATGACCTCTACTTCTTTGACTGTCACTTTATTTTCTCTCACTCAGATACCACTGTAACTCAAGGAGTAACCAATGAAAGTAGTAGTAGCCACGGTGGTGTTTATCTACACATGATTCGTGTTCCGCATGGACCAAGTCTTACTTTTCGTGTTGCTGAATATAGCTTAAAACGTGATATACAAACTTTGGTTCGTCGAGTTTTCGATAGTCGTCAGTATAGTTCACCACCTTTGTTAGTAATGACTGGATTTGGTATGGGTGGTACAAATGCGAATACATCCGCTCCATTGCCACATCTACGTTTAGTTGTGGATATGTTTCAAAATTTACTGCCTCCATTAAATGTTCCGAAGGTTTGTTTTCTATTGTATTCATCAATTCCTTTAAAGTTTTGTTCCATATATCGAAGCTACACTATAATTGTTATTATGTGTGACACTAATCGATATCATGTGTTATATTGCACGATCACAGATCTGATTATCGACTGGTTCACCTATAGTCCCAGTAGTACCGGAGAAATTTATTGTTTAATAATTAGATTACTATCTGAAAATGATACATAATTAACATCATTGACTGAGCGCTAAAGGTTTCTATATGAACGATCATTTTGCAAGCTTAAAGCATCCAATAGACCATTAGGCCATTGAAATTGTTTTCTTTACTAAACATGCGCATAAAATTGTGACCAGTCATGTTTCGCATAACGAATAAGCATTGATATAAACTAAAAACTAGTGCATCACATCTAAATCCCAGAGATATCACCAACTGGTAACAATAAACGGAAAGAAAATTAAAGGAAAGTGTTTTGTAATCTGTTAATCACTTGAATTACTTGTCAAAATCAAAGTGTTTCGTGTTCAATTATGTCATTCCTGTCTTGACATTTTTGTTATCCTGTTGTCACTTAATAGTTTTTCGTACTATATTTCTTTTATTTAGCTTAAACTTAGTACAGTAAAACGAGTTTTACTTGTTAGTCGGGAAGTTGACACTGCATACTGTAATACTACTACTAATGACAATAGTGGTTGTACTAGTGACGACACAAAACAGAACCAACCACAGCAAGTGAATGATGTGATTTACATTCGACACTTTCACATTCGTACTGAAAATCGTTGTATAAGCCGTGCACTACGACGTCTTGGTGTTGGCGGTGCAAAAATGAAACGTCGATGTGTCGATAACTCTGAATTGAAATGTGGCATTGGTCCAAGTGGTTCAGGAAAAACAACGGGTGTACCAAATTTAGCGAAATATTCGTCTATGGACGATTTTTTAACTAAGTAAGCAAGTAATCTTTGCTACTAGGAATAATCATTTTTGTAATGTTTAATGTCCTGAAGTAACTTTAAATATTTGTTTCTTCAGGAAGTTGGAAGAAATTTAGTATCAGTCTGTTATATCTTGTGGCCGAGTGGCTGCCTAGTTGATGTGTGACGCTATAAGACCGCCAAACAGGGAGCAGCGTATTATCGATTAGAACAGTAACACACGAAAACTGTACTAGCAAACTAGAGTGCTAACTGGTCTTGCGATCTGCCTAACCCAACCAGTTAAGTCCAAAACACCAATAACAGCCTCAGTGGTATGAATCATTGTATTTCAAACATACTGAGTTTATATACCAACTCAACAGACCATATCGACCCATAAAATAGATAATAACATTTGTACAATATTTAGCCGAATGTGGCTGTGAATAGTAATCACTAAACTGATGGTAACTCAATAATAGTTCAAAGGTTAAAAAAAGTTAATGATAAGAGGAAACGAATGAATATGATTTGGTTAGTTATTTAACAATTATACAATAGGCAATATACATATTACATTGACCAATAAATAATCCTGAAAAGTTACCACTCGCAATTCCCTTCGGGATACAACACAGTCATTCCAAAACGTTGGATTAGTAATTAAAGACATTGTTTTTTGGACTAATCTTTGTATTTAGTTAAAAACTATCTGGTTAGTGATATTGTGTGACATGTCTTAAAATCAATGGCAATATCGTCGATGCATTCACTCGTAGTCTCTCTTCGGATTTTGAGTCTTATGATTTCTTGTCCTACAACCTAAATTTTTTTAATACGATTAATAATCTACTCTCTCTTTACTGATATGTCAAGTTTAACTGATATATATGTGTCTCAGATTCCGCATTACTTATGACTAACTGAAAATACTTTCAGATGAATAATATGTTTTAATCACAATGCTAAGTTATATATCTGTTCATCAATAAATCAGTATTAGTTGCTTTACAAAGTATTTACTGTTTCTTCGCGTTATGTTAACCGTATACAACATTGGATCTTTAAACGAACTCTAACGGTAGTATTCTGTTTCTATCATAGGGACTAAGCAATTAGTATTTCTTGTTTTGTTTTTGAATGTAATTCATTCACCTTTATTGGCGACGAAACAGCAGTTCGAACTGGAAGAGTACACTGATTTTTTTAACTGGAACTGCATATCTCCAACTACTACTCTTGGAAATTTTTTTTCATTCTTATGATTATTTTTGTTGAAAGCGTGAGTCAATTGAAGCTAGACCACCATGGAAAACCTGGAAACACTGGACGGCCGTTTCGTCCTATTATGGGACTCCTCAGCAGTGCGCATCCACGAACCTGCTCTCGCGAGCGAGATTCGAACCCAGGACCTACCAGTCTCGAGCCGAAGCCCTTAACCGATAGACCACTGAGCTGGCATCCAACGGTGTTAATGTCTAACTTCAACTGATCCACTTCAAACGATCCACCGTTGGATGCCAGCTCAGTGGTCTATCGGTTAAGGGCTTCGGCTCGAGACTGGTAGGTCCTGGGTTCGAATCTCGCTCGCGAGAGCAGGTTCGTGGATGCGCACTGCTGAGGAGTCCCATAATAGGACGAAACGGCCGTCCAGTGTTTCCAGGTTTTCCATGGTGGTCTAGCTTCAATTGACTCACGCTTTCAACAATGATAAATACTAAATCTCCACAAAACCCCTTCTATAATTAATATAATAATATGCTCACTAGTGATTTCGAGAAGTATATCTAGGAGCTCTAGTGAGAAGCAGTGACCAGTGGAGTTCAAAACCACGTCTGTTGTGAGATAGGAACTCACTGAAGACAATTGGTGAATGGTTGCTCAACTTCGTGGATCAGTTGAAGTTAGACATTAACACCGTTGGATGCCAGCTCAGTGGTCTATCGGTTAAGGGCTTCGGCTCGAGACTGGTAGGTCCTGGGTTCGAATCTCGCTCGCGAGAGCAGGTTCGTGGATGCGCACTGCTGAGGAGTCCCATAATAGGACGAAACGGCCGTCCAGTGTTTCCAGGTTTTCCATGGTGGTCTAGCTTCAATTGACTCACGCTTTCAACAATGATAAATACTAAATCTCCACAAAACCCCTTCTATAATTAATTATGATTATTTGACAAGATGGATTCATCTATTTTCTATAAAGAGAAATTTACATATTATTAACTAGAAACTGGCTGATTTCATTTGTATTGTTTGTTTGAATCTTCCTATCGATCAGTCTCTTATTCGTATATATGCATCCTGTGCGGATTGCCTCGATATTGTCTTAAGTCATAAGTATTACTGGATTCGAGTCACAGTGTGAACATCAACTCTGAGATGCAGATACATCCATCTTACAAATCCCAAATAGGACGAAACGCGCTTCCTGGATTCCACTGCTAGTCACCATCCATCTTTACTTATAAAAACTGTCTAGTTGAAATTTTTTTGATTTTATGTATATTCCGTTTTATAACGTATGGACGCACGCACATATATCTTCAATCTAAGTTGAATTCAATCAAACATGATCGTTATTGTTATTGCTTTCATTTATAGAACAGGACTTTTATCCGATTCAGCATTATCAGATATTCTATCAGATATGGAAGAAGTTGATCTAGTTTCAGATATTCAGTTGGCAAGTTCTGGATTCGCAAACACAGATACTATACAATCACGTAAACGTAAACATGGTCATGGCACTAGTACAATACATGGATTAAAACATTTAGGCTCAGCCAAGAAAGCTACAATTCGACTTACTGAAATTGGACCAAGAATTACCTTAAATTTAATTAAAGTAAATTGATATAATTTTTCCCTTTCTTTTAATTGACTCATATTTTTCTTTAATATTGTGGTTTAATCAGATTTTGTATTGAATTAACATGTATATGAGAAACGTCTAGTTAATCATATCGGTCTGCTAACCAAAATGTAGTTGTGTAGTAGAGCAGTACATGTGTATTACTCTGTAGCTCTGAAATATGAAATTAAAAAAAACATGTGCAGGCTGTAGGTTTTTGATCATGTCAGTCTTCGAAATATTGCATATCGAGGTGGTTTGAAACTTCATAATGCATACTTAACTATTTGCTTTGACAAGAAATGTTAGCCGGTCGAGAGAAAGAGTAACCTGAAAACACCATTACATGATATCAGTCATAGTTTAAGATATCTGGGTAGATTCAGGCTACCTAGTTGAAATTCACACACTAACCACAATCAATGTTTTAAGTCATTGGATAACATGGCGCAGAATCGGTCACAGTGTTGTATAATAGATACTTCGTTTTTCTTGCTCTAGACCTTGAGTTTCACTGTTCCTTCATGAATGTCTTTACATTCTGTCATTTCGAACTGTTTTTCTGGCTCAGTATCTGAATCCATTTATATCGTGTACTGATCGTTATCGATATATACATGCCCGCAAATCCTCGTATATAACCATCGACTTCGATTGCGTTAGTGAATTACGGAATTTAATAAATCAAATACGAGAATTGATTTCGAATACTTATATTTCATACAATCGTTGATCAGAACAGATAATGGGAGCGACGGAGAGTTGAAAGCAAACAAGAGATAGCGATGCTAAACCTATTGGATATGGTATATTAGGCAACTCGATTTAACCATGAGTTAATCGATATTTCTAGTCAGACAAAAATAAGTTAAAGACATTCGCTCACGTAAAATCAATGAAGGTTGATTAGCGAATAGTTAACATGGTCAAAATGTGACTCAAGAACAATGAATAGATTGGCCTATCCATAAGGTAGAATAAGTTGCATGGGCTTGACTTAGCAACCGGCACTGTACTGTCAACGCTAGATATCAGTATTCTTATCCAATGACTAATTATTACTATTATTATTACTATTATTATTATTATTATTATTATTATTATTATTATTATTATTATTATTAATGGCTTTATTCTATATTATAATCTGGTACAATATAGAATTCTCAGCACGAGTTATTTCAACAAGTTTTTTACCAAAACAAAAAACCAAAAAAAACAACAACAAAAAACAGAAATAAAATATAAAAAAGGTTTAAGAAAATCTGAGTTTATACAAATTATCGAATATGAGACATGCTTAAGAAGACAGGTTATTTACTAGGTCAACTCTAACAGCCTGTTCATCACAAAGTAAATTAGCTAAGTAAGGTATTACAGAACTTTTATAGATTTGCTTGCGTGCATGAATTTTAATGTATTTACGTCTTGTTCTACCAGAAGATATACAAGGAGAAAGATATGAATAAAGGGGATGGTTAGTATCTGATAAAATAACACCTGCCAAGAGTTTGCAAGCCTTAAGATGTCTATCCACAAGCATATTAACAATGACTTCAAAAGATTCACCACATACCTTGCAAACTGCCTTCAGCACTCTACGCAAAATAGCAAAGTCTTTTCTCAAAAGCCCGGGAAAGAATAATGGAGAACAATATAAAATAATAGGTAATATGCAGGAATTTACAAAGTGTAAGAGTAAATGGCGAGTAATCCCAAAAGCATGCAGCCTCTTTATGTAGTATGTCAAACGGTAAACTTTTTTCGATAACAGCAAAATATGAGAAGACCAAGAAAGATCAGAGGAAAAAATAACCCCAAGATATTTGACCTTCGACACTGTGTTTATTAAGGAGTCTCCAATGGCACAAGCATTATGGGATCCCAACATAGAGTATAGGTTCTGTCCATGTCTCAAGCTAAAATTAACAGCTTGACATTTAGATGGATTGAGTAAGAGACCATTACCAACAGACCACCTTTCAATACGAGATAAAAACTCATTCATTTCTATAGGATGTAAGGAGGTAGAAATTGGCATACATACAGTGAGGTCGTCCGCATATTTTACAAAAGTGTTTTCTGTGGAAGATGGCAGATCATGCAAAAAGAAAGAGAAGAGCAGAGGTGAAAGAACAGCTCCTTGTGGCACACCTACAGTAGACAGTAGAGATGTTGAACACTTTCCTTCAAATACAGTGTACTGTTCTCTACCAGAAAGGTAGGAACGTAGCCAATTGGTTATCCAGCTATCAGTGTCGATGCTGATGAGCTTGTTAAGTAAGAGGTGTCTTGGAATAGAATCAAAAGCAGAAGTAAAGTCCATGAAAGCGCATCTAACATACTTCTTACCCTTTTCCAACCCGAACACTATATTGTGATGCAGAACAGCAACGGCATCTAATGTGCTTCTTTTGCATTTGTAAGCAAACTGATGTGGATCACAGTGCTCTTTTATTACAAGTTGAAGTGGTTGTATCAGTAATTTTTCCATTATTTTGAGGAAAGGTGAGGTTATTGCTATGGGTCTAAGTTTCGCATTTTTATCACCAGAAGCCTTCTTAGGTATAGGGATTACCTTTATCTTTCTCCACATTTTCGGTAAGACATTAGTTGAGAAGGATCTGTTGAAGATATTCATTAATGGATAACATAAAACATCGGCACATTTTTCAAAAAGGAGGTTTGGGATACCATCAGGTCCTAAACATTGGGATGAATTCGGAGACTGGAGACATTTCCGGACATCATTCTCAGTGAAACTAGGGACACAATTATTCTTCAAACCCTTGGATATAGGGAGCATGATGTTGGATGACTGACGAATAAAGGACTTATTTAAGTCACAAACATTTAGCTGGTTATCGCTTCTAGTCTGCCTGTCCCCTGTAATTTCTTTAAAGAGTTTCCACATACTTGGAGGGCTTCTGCAAGATAGAAGTTTTTGAGTGAACACAGAGTTGAGACGTCTAATCTCTTGGTTTATTTGATCATTTAACTTACGAACTTCAATAGTGTTTTTCTCCTTGTACATGCTTTCTTTTACCCTCCGTAGTCGTTTTAGTTGTGGAGATGTAAGTCGATCAAAACTTAAATAGAAGGTTTCGGTAGGACAGCAAATATCAAAACAGAATTTAAGACAAGAGGTGATAACATCCGTTGTGTTTTCTATTGAGTCATCTGTAAATAATTCCCAGTTGGTCGTACGAAACATGCTTTTTAGATTTTGTAAATTTTCTTCTGAGTAATTCCTATATATTACTTTTTTGGTATGGTGTATGTGTGTACTCTTTCCATGTTTACCATATACTTTAGGTAAGACACGAATTATACAGTGATCCGAACTAGACAATGGAGCACGTTTGCGAGTCACATAGGCACCCACATCATTAATGAAAACCAAGTCTAGATGAGAATTCAAACGAGTAGGAAAATCTACTACATTTAGGTGACCTAGTGATGTAAGGAAGCTACAGTCACATGAATTGAAATCACCACATACAATTGAAAGTGAATCACTGAAGGCAGTAACGGCGAATTCAGTAAATTTATCAGTGAAGACAGATAGCGCAGATGATGTGCAGTCTGGAGTCATGTAGATATTGGTAACATAAATATATTTGTATTTATTCAGGTGTTTTGGACGGCACCTTAAAGTTAGACAGTCAATAAAGTCGTTTGAAAACTTGAAACAGGCAAAAGTAGATCTACACCAGTTAACGTTTACAAAAGTAGCTACTCCGCCACCGCAAGTTTTTTTATTGTTTAATCGATCCTGACGATAGATATTAAAATCACGTAATGACACTAAGCAATCATCCTGTAAGTCAGTTAACCAAGATTCTTGAATTGTGATGACACCACAATTACGATACATGTTTTGACTTAGCAGAAATTGGAGATAGTCCACCTTGTTAATTAGTGATCGACAGTTAGAGTTAAGTAGCTCGGGAATCGACATTTGATTGATGTTTATTCTCTTTAAAGCATATTGCCAACCACCACGATGTCTCTTATTGTGCTTGTTTGTAATTTTTGCAGCGAAAGGACGTAAGCATTTTATAAACGCGCCTGTGTAGGTTATGCGATTAATAGACATAATGATAGGTTAAAACAAATTAAAAAAAACACCCAGATAACTTGTTGAAATATTTAGATGGCAGAAACAGGTAGCCCAGGTATTCAAGCAGGTCGCCTTTCGAGCTCATTTATCAGATCGATCTATTCTTTCATTCGGTTCAATATCATACAATGAACTAATCGTGTTGATTAAAGATCGAGAAGAATCGTCCACTAGAAATTGTAGCGAAACAGGGTTAAACCAATGACGCGTCAAAGAAGCGCTAGCAATCTTGTTCCAACTTTGTATCTTTATTAGTCCTACCTGTTTAGTTCAGAACACCAATATCAACTCCCACTATGCGATACATGTATTTCAAACGAAGTATGCATGAAAGCGAATCAGACCACATCAAACCATAAAATCAAAAAAAATTCTAGATTATCAAGCCAGAAGGGGACTGTCACTAAGAGATTGAGAATGGTAAGCCGTACAAAAGTAGCCACTTGGTCAATTGAAAGCTTATGATAAAAGGAATATGAATAGATATATTTTGTTGCTTAACAGTTATGTAATATATATATTAGCAGTTCCCGAAAGTTAGCCATAATTAAATCTTCGGATACAACAATCACCTTTCACGTTGTGAAAATTAACATTCATATTGTTTGTTAATTATTTTTTTCAATATTTCAACCAGATAGAAGAAGGTGTAAACACTGGTACAGTTTTATATCATCGTTGGCAAACACGTACAATAACTGAATTAGCTCATCAATCAGAATGTTTAAGACAACGTGAACTACTTCGTGCAAAACGTCGTGCTGAACATGAAGCTCGACGTGCAGCAAACGAAGCTGAACGTGAAGCACATCGTGCTATTTGTCTTGAAGGTATGAAACGTGCTGGTCAATTACCAACACAAGATGAAGTTAATACTGATGAAAAACTAATAAATACTAAGATGGTTAAGTTTGAATTAGATGAAAAAACTGAAAAGAAACATAAAAAGAAATTAGAAGTCAATAAAAAATCAAAGAAATCACCGGTTAAAAAAGCATTCAAAAGTAAGTACTTCAATTGGCAAATATGATTTTTTAATTTCTTTTATTTAAACACCTAAATATTGGTACAAAGGGCACCAGATATATAGGCGCCACACAAATCTCATTTGATTTGTATTTGTATGAGGGCTGTGATACTGCCCAGAAGCCGAAACTGAAGCACAAGGTTTTCTTAGGGGGTCACACCCGGAGCCTTTGGCTTAAAGGTGCAATCCAGAAGGCAGTGGAGCATTGTGAGGTGATGCAGTCCCATGGAAGCCGGTGACCAACAATTGATTCGTACGCCATTTGTTCCCTCAGGATACTGGAGCTAGCCTATGTGCACCATTGGTTTGGAATTGTGGTTTTCCGACTACCTTAGGTAGACCCTCCGTGTCCACCAACCCGGTTAAGACACCAGAGGCAAATATTATGTTCATAGTGTAAAATGTTCTCACGATTTAATGTTTATTTCATTACTTTATAATTAGTTACATCTTTGTTTATAATTTTTAAATAGTGCTCTTTAAGTCCATTAAACAATACGACGATATTTTAGCGAGGAAAATATTGTTTCCTAACATTTCATGTACTACACATATTTATTTATTTAAACACATAAACATTGGTATAAAAAGGCGCCAAATATACATGCGCCACACTTCGTCATGCGATTTGTTCAAGGGCTGAAATACTGCCCTGGTGCCTAAATTGAAGCAGATGTTTTTCTTACGAGTCCACTCCCTGAGCCTTTGACCTAGAGGATTAGTCCACAAGGCATGGGAGCAACGCTAGGAGATGTATTCCAATGGTAATCGGTGACCAGCAATAATTTTATATTCCTTTTCCCCCTTCAGTATTCTGGAGCTCATGTGTACCATCAGTTTAAATTAAATGTTTTCCAACTCCTCTAGATGAATCCTCCATTTCTGTGAACCCGGGTAATGCGCCGAACATTCACTTTTTGTCCTCTCAATTTCGTAAACAGTACCTTCGGCTCAAGAAGACAGTGAGTAGGGCTTTCCTGACAGTGGTTGTATACACGTGGTCATGTTATAGCATTTCGAAAGATGGATGGATTCTCCTAACTTTTGGCTGTACCAGGGTATTTAGTAGCTACGGCAAGTGGATCTATACCGTGTTCGGTTTTGGGCAGTTACCCATCGAAGACAATGGAAAATGAACGCACAATGTCGTGGATGGGCTGTAGTTAGGCGATAACAGAGTCGGATACCGGCTCAGCTGTCTAAACGTTTGGCATTCACATGCTAGACTGTAGGCTCTGGATTTTATTCCATGTCGCAGTGTCGTGGACGCATACTACTTTGGAGCCCCTTACTACGACCAAAGTTATAATGCACGGCCAAATAAATACAACGCGCGAATATTTTGCCATTTCTTAAACACAGAGATAGAGCTATTGATATTTCACGTAATTTAACTGTACGGGTGCTTACAGTTAGGCTAAAATATTAAACAAACTTCATGGTTATATATCAAACTAGTTGTTGAAATGTATCTAGTCAATATTCCTCGTATTGCAGAAATCCCACGAGCAAACCTTGAAAAACATAATTTAGTCTTGTGAAACCTGTCTACGAATTCAGATTCCAGGATATGCGTCAGTCAGTTATTTGTTGTTTCCAAATATGATCAAACTAACTTGTTTAGTTTGACCATTTGATTATCGGACTATATCATTTTTATGTGCCTCATTTAATGTTTATCTTTAGTTCAAGTCAATTATTAGCCGGGAAGTATATTTCGCCTTATTTTCAAAGTAATTTTTTCTAAAACTTTCCAATTTGTTTTGGAATGAGCGACCCTGTGAATTCATGCGTTCCACTTTCAATCACTTACTGAAAATTGTGAATTTCACTTCATTTGTACAGCTGCATAGCATCTTTAGCCTGTACACTTAATAAAGTTGCTCAAAGTCACGTATCAAAAGATCTGATCCACAAGGTAGCGGAGCATTGTGAGAAGATGCAGTCCCATGGTAGCCGGTGACCAACAATTGATTCATACGCCATTTGTTCCCTTAGGATACTGGAGTCAGCCCATGTTTACCATTTTTTTGGAATCAAGGTTTTCCTACTCCCCTAGGTGGACTCTCCGTGTCCACCAACCCGGTTCAAGCGCCGGACATTCGCTTTTCGTTCTCTCAATTTCGTAAACAACACCCCCGCCACTAGCAGGCAGTTAGTAAGGCTTCCTAGTATGGAACTCCTCCAGAAATCCCCATAGTAATAATTATCATGCTTCTTGAGTTCTATTGAAAATCTATGACTTGTAGAGTTCAATCCATATCTGATGTGACACAATTAACCACGTCAGACAATAGATATAGGGTTATTCGAGATCATGGATCGATTGAAGTAAGACATTAAGACCTTTGTATACCGACTCAATAGTCTAGAAGTTACTAATAATAAATTAATGTTTGTTTATTTTCTCGTTATTTATGATTTCAATTTACCCAATATAAATAGTGTATAATTTCATTTCCATGTATCGTTATGCATTTTCTTTATGTTTTAGGCAATCTCATTGTTAGAAAAAAGAAGAAATAACATCAGTCATTTTTTGATTCATAATTTTGTTTCTGTATAAATTCATGATATTTTGTAAATATCTATAAATCATACTTATTAATTGAAGTCTTTCTAAGTGAATAGCTAAACATTCTGTGCTGGTAACAAATGTTAATTATCATATAATCTATCTCTAACCAAGTACTATATCAAATACATGGGTAATAAGGTCGCTTAGATTACTGGTCATACCTGCAAGTAGATGGGTAGATAGTGGCTTAACATTGACTGCTACTTAGTTAGACAAGACTCATTCTCAGCCGAAAAAAGCGCATTAGTAATATCTCAGAGGGAATCCGAGTAACTTGTCTATGAGTTTCAGTGAAAACCATTAGTTCCCTAAAGATTGTATATGACTCGGTAATTAATGCGATCTTCCACAATTATTTTCAAGGTTTCCAACCAGCTGCCTAACATCCCAACATTTCATGTACCAAAAAATTTACCTATAAGAAATGTATCTATGCCAAGTATATACATATTTACTTGTACTGATAGCTATTCTGATAATTGAATAGTATTTCTTAATGTTTCAGTGAAAATATAACAGTATTACGATTTAAAACAGAACTAATCGGTCGGTATGGGGAAAAATCAACTGCAGTAAATGGAATGTCATACTTTGAGAAACACTGATTTTTTTTATAGCTAGACGTTTTATATACAATGTTGCCCAGTTGGGATTTGGATTCAACCATATCCCTGTAGAACTGGTGACCTACTTTGCTATTCGACATACCGATGAACAATACCTAATATCTTAACACATTGGTCCTCGTGCCATTTTTAACACAGTGGCAAATTAGAAGGCAATGATAGAAAGTAGATTATTTCTTTATTGTACTCGATTTCAAAAAGACTCAAGACACCCATACAATAATATATTTGAAATAAATATCCACAGGACAGCAAATAAGTAACAATAACATAATTAGTAGAGCACAAAGAAGCCAGTAGACTATCAATAAATAAGGGATTGTAAAGCGTACAGTGATTAGGCCCACTGGAAGTTTATGATACTGTAATTTAAAAAAGCTACAAAACAGTTATCTAATGATTATGCAGTAGTAATGCGAAAATTAGTTTTTTAAGTTCTAGCTTTTCTAAAACTTGTTCCATTATAACTGCGTTTTTGTAGACATCGCTATTTAGCTTGCTAAAATTCTAATCATTTTATAATAAACTCAGGTCTTACTTATAGGTATGTATCACTTCAGGTATCAAAATGAGCCAAGAGAATGAAGGTTTCTACATCAGTTCATTCATCTTGAATAATAGAACTACGATTTCACTAGTCTATCTGTTCAAATGACTATTTTCGTATAGCCTAATAATACACTAAATAAAATAGTATGTAATGGAAAATCTTGTCGTATAACTAATTAGATCGTACGATCACTTTTGGTCTCTAATTATGGTGTTCTATATTTTCATATATTCCTAATAATAAAAACTAATTTATCCGATGTTAAATAGGAATAATATATATTTGTAAAATCTCAGCGAATGAATTTTTTTAAATTAAATCCAACGTTTTGCCTAGCAATCTGGTCCAAGCTTTTTCAAGGAATTATAATCAAAATTATCGAATATAAATAGGTACATGGTTCTCCGAGTTCATTATACACTGAATAGGTCATCCAATCAACGTTAACAATAAGTCTAAACTAGGTATGTTTAAGAGATATGTGATGTGTAGTGAAGAGTGTTCATATAACATAATTGTATAGAAAACGTAAGAGATTAGAGGATAAAAATTACATTCACATTCATATATTGTCTCATCAGTGAATTTATAAGGAAACATACAATTTGTAATCTATATGATATGAATCATATCTGTCCCTGTATGTATATCATGAAGATAATTAAACAAAATATAAATTTATACGAATATTCGTCAAGATTTGAACGAATAGTTTGACAATAATTGGGCGCCGAGTATAGAGAATTCAGTATATGTGAAATAATTATATTTGAAATAGTCTCAGCCATTGAAATTTAAATAATTCCAACGTTTCGTCCAGCTAACTTGTCTCGACGTCTTCACGGAAATAATCAAAGAAATATATACTGTTTTTACAATCATATCAAAATCTCTACTACTTTTTAATCCAATCATATTTGGATGTCGAAGTTTTTGTACAACAGGATAATATGAGTCAGTTGAATGAGAATTAAGTGAAAAGTTCAACGATGTGAATTAAAGGAGACTGCATAAATTGTGTGTATGTATGTATGTGTAAGATGAGTTATTAATGATGAATGATATTCAGTGTTGATATGTTTCTATGTGAAGTAAAATAGGAATAAACGTGCATAATGAAGGTTGAAAAGTTTTTCTCCTTTCTGAATCATCGAAGTTGCAAATAAAATGAGAATCATCAAGTACATAAATTGTAATGTTAAACATAACTCATATTGATTTCAGTCATAATAACGATTCATGTGAAGTAAACAGGTTGAATAAAAGAAAAAGGTCAAATTACTTGTTGATGAATATTTGCCAAGTGGTAGCTAGCTGAATACCATCCTTTCTGTTTAGGCTGTTCTTATTCGCCCTTATATACAGCGCTTCTGCTGTCAATCTTTCTTTGTGAGTGTTGAAACCTTTCTGAAGTATTTTGGCCCCTTCAAAATTAATCATGTGTCCCGTTTCCAACGCATGTAACGCTATTGCAGACTTATTCTCAAGTTTTTTTAAGTCAACCGAGGTTTTGGGAACGTTTTTTAAACACTGTTTGTGTTCCTTCAACCTTACCTTCAATTGTCTGGATGTTTCTCCAATATAAGCCTCATTACAATCATGACAATTGATCTCATAGACAATATTTTGTTGTTCTTCCTTTGGTAACCTATCCTTAACCTTCACCAATGACGATCTTATAGTGTCACATGTTCTAAAATACACTCTTATGTCATGTTTGTTTAAAATCCGTTTGATTTCCTCCGATATTTCGCTACGGTATGGTATGACTACAGTGGACTTCCAATCTTTCTGTACATGTTGCAGTTTAGCTTTTCTTTCCTTTCTAACAATCTTCTTTAAAAACTCTTTTGGGTAGTTGTTATCCCTAAGTGTAGCTAAAATCCTATTCAATTCAAATTGTTGGTCTTCTTCATCTGTAACAAGCTTCAGACTTCTGTTAATTAAATTTTTAACAACTGTGACTTTCGTACATAAAGCATGCGCCGAATCAAAATCTAAGTATCTATCTGAATGTGTTGATTTTTTGAAAACATTTATTTTCAACTTCCTATTATTAAGTCTTCGTTCAACCATACAGTCGAGAAATGCCAGTTTGTGGTCATCAGACTCTATTTCCTTCGTTAGATTAATTTGTTCCGAAATGTTGTTCACATTTGTAAACAATTCTTCCAAATAGTCCTGTTTAATGATAACAAAAATGTCATCTACATACCGTAGCCAGACCTTTGGTGGACAAACACTTCTTGCGATTGCACTAGTTTCGAATGAATGCATCAATCAAATTCGCAACAATCGGAGAAACTGGTGAACCCATAGCTATACCTTCTTTTTGTCTGTATAGATCTCCTCGAAATATGAATAAGGTGGACGTTAAACATAGTTCCAAACACTTGATAAACTCAGATGGATCTAACGGGCAACGTAAATGTAAATCCAAATCAGATTCTAAACAAGCATAAATAATATTCAACGCTCTGTTGATAGGTACGTTAGTAAATAAGGAAGAAACATCAAAACTTGCCATTACTTCTTCTTCTTCTATGTTGATGGTATCAATAATATTTTTAAATTCCATAGAGTTTTTAATTCCATGATTAATCAATTTCTCATACGGTTTTAGTATTCTAGCTAAGTATTTCGCTAGGTTGTAAGTCGGTGAATTTGTAAAATCGACCACTGGTCTTAGTGGAGTACTATCCTTGTGAATCTTCGGGAGTCCATAGAATCGACAAGGGTTACAACTTTTTGGATTTAGCATAAACCATAAAGGCGTTCCGAGCTTGACCTTTAACGAATGTAAGATTTTACTTGTTTCCGCCTTAAGTTTACTGAGCGTAGTTCTGCTTTTTTCAACTTTGATTAGTTCATATGGTCCCTCTTGTAGATGTTCCTTTGCTTTTTTCTCGTAGTCCAATTTGTTCATGATGACTGTAGTGTTACCTTTATCTGCTTTTGCAATGATAATTGTCTTATCATTTCTTAGTTGCAATTAGTTTATTGGATATAATCTTATTTGTTGGAAGCTTCAAATAGACATCTTACGTATTGTACCCTTCGAAAAAATAAGAACTATGGAAGTTAGTTCAAACTAAATAATTCAACTATCCGAATTGGAATTTATCAAACGATAAAGGTTGCTGTCCTAAATATAAAAATTCATGACGCTAGGTTTATATGGTTTGTAGAGATTGCCCTTTATGAAAATAGTTCTAACTCTGAATTGATTCCAGGTGAAGTACTGTTAAAACTACATAGGATTGTTTACATTCTAGTATGAGGCCTCCTAACATTATGAATCGTTCGAGATTCGAAATCAGCAAATTTAGGAAGAAATTATGATTGAATTAAGAATTGTTTTCCTCCATAGTCCCCAGGAAATTGAACACTATGATAAAGTCAACAATCATTAAGTTACGAAACGAAACAGTTGCTTATTTTACTGATAATTTTTCTTTCATGATTTTACATACAGTCAGTGTATACAACTAACGTGTACAGTTACTAGGATGTAGACAGTATATAACTATTCCAGTTTTCATACTTTGTGATGCGAACAAATAAACCGTGACAAAGGACGGGAGCTATTTTCGGGGACGTTATTTTACTTAATTCAAAGCTTGTAAAACAGTTACCTTTAATTTTGTCCTTAGTCTATTCTACAAACCATAAGAATTTGATCGAAGTTTGATTCACCGCCATACTCTTTTCTGTTTCAAAGCTATTATATTTTAAATGCAATCTTTTGTACTCTATTTTTCTACTTTAATTCCCAGTATTCGACATAATCTCACTTTTCTAATTGTTTATGCGTTGTGGTCATGTTGTAGCAAGCCCATTCAACTACTGTAT